TTAATGTACATGAAGATGCAGCTGCCATAAGAGAGGGAGACAACTATCATGTGGGAGGAACAAGTGGAAAAGGCTTTTTTTCTTTGATTTGTGGAAGGAATTTTCAGAATTGTCCGGATGATATTTGTGTAGGAGAGAATAACTAATGTTAAGGTGACCATGAGTGTTACCACAGCTAAAAAGAACGCCATGAGCTCTAGAAAGTGAGTGTTTGTGCAAGAAAGCTGCAGAATTGGGGAAGAGTCACAGATAAAATGATCAATTATATTGGAGGCACAAAAATCCAACTGCAACAAAAGGAGGATTGGTGGAAAGATGATCAGGAATCCCGCAAGCCATGAGCTGAAGACAAGAAGAATGCACACTCTGCTGCTCATGATGGTCGTGTAATGAAGAGGTTTGCAGATGGCCACATAGCGATCATAGGACATAGCAGCAAGGAGGTAAAATTCTGTCACTCCCAAGAAGATGAAAAAAAATAACTGAGCCACACAACCGTTGTAAGAAATTGTTCTGTCTCCTGTCACAATAGTGACAAGGAATCTGGGGATACAGACAGAAGTGAACGATATTTCTAGGAAGGAGAAGTTCCGAAGGAAGAAATACATGGGAGTCTGCAGATGAGGATCTGAAAGGGTGAGGATGATAATGATCAGATTCCCAGTCACACTTAGCATGTAGGTAACAAGAAGAAACACGAAAAGTACAACCTGCCACTGTGGGTCATTTGTCAGTCCAAGAAGAATGAAATCTGTTACTGCAGTGGAATTTCTCATTATTTTTTCTCTTTATCAAGGTATCCTCTAGGTTAATTCTAAAGTAGGTGAAGAAATAAGAAATCCATTACACTAATAAAGAAACAAGTAGAAAAAAAAATTTTTCTGTGTCTGGTTTATTTCACTTAGAATAATGTCCTTCTGGATTATACATGATGTCACCAATGCCAATGAGGCAGTATCTCCTTTATAAAGCTAAATAATATTCCATTGTGTGTGTAGATGTATATACATATAAATAATTTTATATATTATGCTATATTTAATATATATAGTAATATCTTCAAAGGGTACAGATTTGTGGAATAAATAGAACTACAGAATTAATATATGACATGAGTACTATAGTTAATATTATATTGTATCCTAAAAATTTGCTTTGAGAGCAGACTTTAGGTGTTCTTGTGACAAAAAATATACAG